CGTAGGCTGTAACTCTCCAAACCCTCAGTCCCTTCATCGTGGCCTTTTGGCTTCTTCAGTGGTGGGCCTGGCCACTCTCAAGTCCGAACAAAGTCTGAAGAGAAAACAACTCTCAGAATTCTCAAAACTTTCAGACCCTTTCAAGTCCTTCAGGCTCTGGAGGGGGGCGTTTACGAGCATCACGGGCGGCCACGGTTCCTACAGTTCAGTATACTTTCACATCCCAACATTTTCTTAGCCGTGAAATAGTATCTATCCACATGAAAACTTATTCTGGATGTCCTCGAGGAATCAAAGAAGTCAGGACAAGTGGTGCCTTTGGGCCTCAGCCCCACAACTATCGCGCTTCCCAAGACTCCCCAAAACTCTCAAGAGTCATTTCATGCCCTTTAAATCTCAAGACTCGTTTCACGTGTCACGTTCCTCGATGGCTTGAGGAGGAGGTTATCGATGGCGACTCTGTGACAGCTCCTCGATTTATATCAAACGAAAAAGAAACAAATTTCAAACAAAACACCTTCAAACACTACACCTTCTTCTGAAGCAGCCGTACCCACTGCTCCTGCTAAGTTCAGCTGAGTAGAGCTGGGTCGTGGACGCACTCCTGAAGAATATATGTGGACTCCTGAAGAATATATGTGGACCCCTGAACTACATGAACTCTCACAATCTCTCCTCTCTTCAAAACTCTCTCAACGCCTGAACGTTTCGGGCCTGCCCCAGGTGGTGCCAACCTGGTGCCTGTACGTGCTCGATCAGGGGGCGAACACGGGCAACTCTCGAGAACTCTCCTTAAGTCCCATACTCTCCAAACATACCTGGAATCGCCTAGCTCCCAGGATCCGCATCCGAATTTATGTAGTTGGCCCATGCGTCGATCTCTATAATGCATGTATAGTGTTGCTTGCGAACATCTCGTGAGGCCAAAGAATCGAAACATCAGATTGCTTGACCTATAGGACGCCAAACTGGAGATCGAGAGAGTTCAACTTGTCGCAGAGGGAATTGGGTCAGGATGCGAACGCTCGCAACTCCCCAGCACTCTCATAAACTCTCATACCCTCCAAACACTTTCCCTCCAAACCCAGGACTCTCGAAAACTCTCAAAGCAGTATAGCCATGGAACCTCGACTCTGAACATTTTTTGAGACAGGCGGAACGGATCCTCAACTCAGACTCTCTCAAACAATATCAATTAAAGAAAAAAATCTCCTGGATTCGCAGGTCCATGACCTAACAACAAATTCAACCCCTCCTGACACACATACTTCCACAGCCCACAGCCCTCCACCTGAAAACGCTGGATCTCCGTCTCGGAAT